CCATATTATTATGATTCAGCCATTTGTCTGTTCTTAAATTTTAATTGTTTCTAACTATCATTGTGGGATTCGATGATTCTTATTTTATGTTTTTACGTTGGAGTTGCCTCCACTTTGATTTTTAAGTCAAGACCATAGCTGACCTTATCCTTTGTTTCAGTTTTAATTGTATGTTTTTCCGTACTCAGTCCAAGCACTGCCTAGCAGTGAACTTGTCTACTTGGATCGTATCATTATTTTCAGAAATACATTTGTTCCTAGTTTTATGTTTTGACCTACCTAGTCCAGGCATAGCTGCTATAGCAGTGAACTGTATCTTGTACTACAGTGTTTTTTTATTTTGATAATTTTCAGAAATAAATTTGTTTCTACAATACATAATTTCCTGCCTTTGTCCCATGCCTTCCTGTCAATTGAGTATGCAACGTTGGGGAAGGAGCAGAAATTGTTAAGAACTATGAACTTATCTTTATAATTTATTTCTATTGAGATCACAATCAAAATGCACAATAGCCACCGTATACGATAATGAAAACTTTCAGTTCCTCCTACTTGGCAATTATCTGTTGTGATTAAATGGGGCAGAAGGTTTTTTTCAAAACACAATAAGTTGGAGAAAGGTATGAACAGTTCAAAAACTTGGTAGTTAACATAGTTGTACGAAAGTGTACAACCCTTCTTGCAGGCAGTAGAGAAAGTTCAGGGGCAATTATCTTGTTGAGAAGTAGCTCCAGATTGAGGTTTTTATAATTTTACACATTCTTCAAACTAAAAGAATTAAAGATAAATACTGAAAATATCCTCTTCATTGTAATAGAAGAGGTTGCTGAAAAAACCCTCCAGCTGGGCATGGTACCGGGGGGTGGGCCAAATTAGCAGATGCTGTGCAGTGAAAGTCTAGAATTTCTGGTTTCCCAACATGCCCTTATGAGACACAAATTTTTCGGAAATTTAACTGTTAAGCAAGATTGGAAAGCGTGTAATATCTTTGAAAGCATTTACCTTCCACCCTTTTGTTTAGAAAGTTTGACATAAGGTAAATGAAAGGTAGATGAGTACTTGTACTAAACCACTTTTATTAACAGAGCAAAACTCAAACCATTTTACACAAAAGATTGGACCTGGTTGGCTAAACTACAACACAGAACCGAGAGTAATCCTCCATTGACATTCTCAAAATAAGGAAGGTTTACATAATAAATTTACTGAACAGAGATATGAAATGCCTGATACAATTTGTGCTGTTGTGCTCAATTATTCTTTTGAAAATCTTTCAAAAAGAGTGACAAGACGTGTTGCTCGGACTGATACCGGAAGGTGGGGGGAGGGTGGAGCGTGTCGAGCGCATCTGTAGATGCGCTCGTAGCGACTGATAAGCAGCCCTTGCAACATTGACATCTCACAAGTTCAGAGCAACCACTGACACAAAACCACGACTTGAATTATTTCTAAGCTACATTAATTCCAAGGAATGACATGCCACATGAGTGCATTACAAAAAGATGATAACAAGCAAACTAAGCAGCAACATCTATTTTACTACATGACTTCTGCCTCCATGCACACAATGAGGTGAGCAAATGAAAAATGTGACAATTGGTACAGAAAATTATTTCCATTGGCAATACGAAATATTCAGAACTTCAGAAGCATGATTAAACAATTTCTTTTTGAGCAGCAGCAATATTTTGGCATGAGGTGAGACCTGAGAAGGTATTTTACCAGGACATCTCAGCAATGAGGGCCACCTCCATAACAGTGAAAGTTCAAGAAATATTTGAACAGATTTGAGAGAAACATCTTCAAGTCTGACAGAGAGAGAGATAGAGAGTGAACAGGTTGCAATTACAGAGTTGCAAAGTAAACTAATAAAAGAAATGCCATTGTTACAAATTTTCAGTTACAGACCTCATTTAACTGAAAAACAACTGGGTAATGTATGCTGAACATGCATTAACAATTTTTAAGAAAAAGTTAACATTCCTAAATTAGCAGATATTAATGGATTGGATTTTGATCCTCTCCCAGTAGAATTGCAAGGACTGACAGGTCTTGGGGACAGATTGGTAACAGCAAGCATCCCATTCATGCAAAAAGGAGAATTGGGATATCAAAAACAATTTGGTCTCAAAGGCAATTGAGTTACCATTCCAATTGACATAGTCAAAACAGTAACCTGTCTTCCAAGAATGCAACTAATGCGAAGGATGAAAAACAAAAATCCATATGCTTTGGAAAATGCCCAGACCAGAAAGAGTCTTCAAAGCAGCGACATACTTGGTAAATACAAATTTATATCAAAATCACAAGATAACTTTAAATCAAACGTGGTTACAGGAATTTTATCAACAACATGATTTACATGAACAATAAAATTCTGTGGAAGAAGATAATACTGATGAACCAATGGATTGTGAACCAACAGATGAAACTGAAGCATTCGAAGAACAAGAAACACTGCAAGCTGGAGGTTTTATAGTTGATTCTGGAATTCGCATTGCACCAGGAGAAGGATCTATTCCACTGTCGCTTCTGTTGGATGAGAGCAATGATGTATTATCCTTCCCAACTGTATACGGAGGACAACGAAGAAAATGCAAGTTGAAGTATAATCCAGTAGATGTTGCAAAGGCTGAGGCACGTCACCATGACAGTCGAGTTGCAACAAATATTCCGAAACTCGTGATGAAATTTCTGCAAAGCCCGTATCCGTAACCTGAAAAGTAGAATCAGTATTAATTTGAGAAAAAAGGTAAAACCTGATAAGGTCACTGTTTCACAAATACTAAATGAAAATAACCTCTTTACCATAGTTGAACAGAATGACGGCTACAAAATAGTAGCTGTCGACAGATCGTCTCCTGCATTCTGGCACGGAAAACAAAAGAAAGTCATGGCAATGCATAGACCATTTGGCTCCAGTTCCATATTTATGACTTTCTTTATGAGCTGAAATGAGATGGAATTCACTTTTAGTTTGTTTGAGTAAAACTGTAAACAATGAAATAATCACTGAAGAACAAGCACAAAATATATTACCCCCAAAAAAAGATGAAACATTGTGTGATCTGATAAACCTTCAATATTACAAAAGCACTCACACATGTAAGAAGAACGTGAAAAGGAATGGATATGCAGATTCAATTATCCTTTGGCGCCATGCGACACACAAAAATCCTGAAGCCTCTGCTTCCACAAGACATGCCTGAAGAACAGAAAAAAAAGGCAAGAAAATTACTGACTCAAATAATAAATGATACTGAGCAGATAGTTAGAACTCTGGAATCCTCTTTACCAGTTGGAGAATGGAACCATTATTAGAAGACATGTTCAACAATCATACAGCTTGAACAGGAAAGTAGGAAGTACTGCACACACTTTGGAACCATCTTCGCCCACACGCACACAACATCAGCCATCTTGAGGTAGAAGCCACATGTTTCATTCTTGAGTGAAGATCATTACTGGACATCCGAAGGAGCGCAAAGGGTACACCTGAGGTATTGATATTTCTCAGGCGGTCAGGTCACTGGCTGACTGCAGAGCATGATGACACACTTGATGATGATGAACACTTCCTGAAAACAAGATAAAATATTTAAAAATCTGCAAATAATATGCTTCTTTACATAAGATGCCATTTTATGCAGTTGTCAACAAGAAGGAATTGTAAAGTACTGGAAACAGCGCTTTTTCAAAGCTTCTTCGCTGAGGCCTTCGGTTTTGAACGCAGTTGGTATTGGATTGAAATTAAGTCTTGGTCCTAAGGGCTTCCTACCTTCTTATTGCTTTTCTCTTAGAAGCCCAGGATTTCTTGCATTGCCAGATTTTCTCCAGTAGCACTGCGTTCCTGTTGTTGTTACAGCTGTAATTTAAAGAAAGAAAAATAAGTTAATCAACAAGACAATTATTTTTAAAAATAAATATGTTTTTGTTACAGGCACAAGGTCCCAAGGAATTTCGTGATACAGGGAGTGGTGGAACATTGCCATTTTTGTCATATGAAATGATGATGACAGATCCCACTTAGACTGAAGCAGACTTCAAGTACTACACAGGAATATCAAGTAAATCATTTGAAGTGCTTTTCAAGTTTTTGGGAGGAAATAAGGTGTACTGTAAACTGAAGTACTACACTGATAGAGCAACTCCAAATCGAGAATGTGAGAGTACACATTCTCCTAAGGGCCTTTTACTTCTCACATTAGTAAGACTGAGACGTGGGTATCCAGAAAGAGACATGGGAAAATTTTTTAAACTTTCTGCTCCTTCTATCAGTAATATTGTGAAGACATGGGTGAGATTTATGTCCATAAAATTTAAATCTTTGAAGGCTGCTATGTTTGTTTCAGTAGAGGTACAGGAGAAAAATAAGCCTGCCTGTTTTAAAACCATTTCCTAATTTGAGGTGTATTGTTGATGCAACTGAAATCAAAATTCAGAAGCCAAAAAATTTTGAGCAGCAAAGCAACACCTATTCATCGTACAAAGGAACTAATACAGCAAAATTCTTGGTAGCATGCTCTGCTTATGGTGGTCTATCATTCATAAGTGAAGGCTATGAGGGGAACATATCAGATAGGAAATTATTCCTTCAGTCTGAGATTTTAGATCATATCAATGCGGGTGAAGCTGTCATGGTAGATAGAGGGTTTGATATAGAAGCTGATTTGAATAAACGTGGCATTGATCTAATTATACCTCCATTCCTTGGTGATCGACAAGCATTCACTGAGAGAGAAATGTTTATCGGAAAAGCAGTGGCAACATCAAGAATTCATATTGAAACACTGATAGGACGTACAAAACATTTCAGACTTGTGACATATGTTTATCCAAATTCAATGCTTGATTTGCTCTCTGATGTAATGCATGTCTGCTCAGTCCTGTGTAATTTTAATGAACCATTTGTAAGATGGGAAGAAGAAGAAGTTGCTGATGTTGATCTTTGAGAGTATTTTTTGTCTTGGAATGAACCTCTGTTCGGTAAAAAATAAAGAGAAAGTATATCTAAACATATATTGACTTCTCATTAACATACCTTCATATCCTTTTGTGAAAACATGTTCCCAGAGGCGTAAAAGCACAGCAGCTATGTGTCCGCACCTCTTCAGCGCTTGAGCTTTGCACAAACAATCAGCTGTGCATATAGGGCCATCACTCACATTAAGAGTGATAATAACACCATAAATGTTGTCTTCCATAGAGGCCTGCACCTGTGCTCTGATGAAGTACTGTCCATCTTTCTTGGTGTCAAGCATGGTCAACAATCTACCACTATACAGGAACTGTTCTCCTTTTTTTTAGACACTTCTTTATAGCCCTCCTGCACAGATCTTGGAATGTCATCTCATGACATTTTGCATCACCATCATCTTCATCATCATAATCATCATCAGAGGTGTCACAATGTAGTGGTACTTCTGCTGGAGCTTCAGCTTTCACAACCCCTTTCTTATAATTGTACTCCATTTCTGGGATGTTCTCAAAATAATCTAAAATGTCTAAGTAATGGAACCCTTCAGGAATGTGCACACTGGGAAATGGGTGCCAATGTTTACCACCAACAGGAACCATTGGTAGGTTACTTTGCACATAGTGTTGTTCCTGTTAAAAAAAAATGTAAGATTTATTATAAAAAATAATGTATCTTGTATATTACAATGGGAGGCGGAGTAAATTGCCTCGAGATTCAACAACTTACCATCAATCGGGCCCTTTTCTTTTGGTGCCATTGTCCTGCTACAAAGCCAGGATTTATTTTTTCCCCCTTGCCCCTGGCTACATGAGTCAAAATTCTGAAAATAAAAAATAAACAAGTTGTTATTATAGGGTAAATATTAGAAGAATACAATAGCAAATTTGCCAGTGTGTTTCACATTAAGTACCTGTCACCTATTTCCTTTTTGTTCCCCTTAGTTGGAAGCCCATACATTTTTAAAAGCCTCTCAAGTTCTGCCAAACAATGAGAATTGAGCCTCAACATCATCTCTTCCCAGAACTGGATCTCTAATGTCAATATCAACTTCTGGATGGTTGCATGTCCCTTGTACTGTTTCTAGATCTTGATGGAACTGCAGGGAAGAAAATTAAATTAATGTACTTAGAAGAAACTTAGAAATAAATTCACATGAAAGAGAGGAGATATTTACACTAATATTTCTTTTCTCCTTTAAGGAAGGTGGTGGGAATACTGTTTTTTTCACAGCAGCGCGTTGATGCCGTTGTTGGGCAGTGGTTTTCTCTGGTACAGCCCCTGCCTTGACAGGTCGAATAATTATTTTTTTCCTAGCACGACCTGTATTAGGAACATATTGAGTGGAATCTTCTGAATCTGAAGACTCATCAGAACTTGACATGACTTCGGTGTTTTCTGTGCCCAAAGAATTAGACAGGCTGTCTGGTCTCATGCTCAAATTGGGTACCTCATCCACATTCGTTGGCAGTAAAGTGACATCTGCATCCAAGGGAAGGTTTCCATCTGGGCCTTCAGTGAGTGTGAACCACAACAAATAGGCGCCATTTGAGATGACTCTCTTTGCAAAAGTGATGCTGACTTTTGAGTCATCAAAGTTAAACCATCTGTCAGGCAGAATATTAGATAAGAATTACATTTTGAAGCAGGTGGATGACATTGCAGGAAGCAGAACATTTCACACTTACCTATTATCTCGTTTGCAAATAGAGGTGTAGTGACCACCCGCCAACCCTCCACGATGACATGTCACAGCAACTAGTTCATAGTTTGTGTTGGTCTGCAGGCTATCCACAACATACTCCTTCATGTCAAGGCTATGCTCATAATCAACAATGCAGCTGTTTATATCTGACTCACCCTGGTCATAAGTAAACCTAGGAGCAGAATTAAAAATAAATAACTGTAAATAGTATATGCCAGGAAGTAGTTTAAAAGAAATTAAAATTACCTTGCTAATTAAATAATTAAAACAGGTGGGAGTCGTCCCAATTTTAAGCGTGACTTCTGATTAGATGTAGAGCACTTTGCGCATTTGGCATCACGAAAAATTTCCTCTGAACTCCAGATCTTCAGACATTCCTGGAAAAGTATGGCTTGGTGAATATAAATGCAATATTAAGATTCAATGAAATGAGGGATAGATAAATTTACATTTACCTGAAGAGAGCATTGTTCCTTCTTTTGGGGCAAGTTCAAAGTAATGTAGAAGGACACTGGATCACAATGATCTGATGATTCACTACAGTTCAAACACACAGTGTTACGAACAGACAAAGATCCAAATAGAGAAGCTACACGTGACCTTTCTCTTGATGCCCAAGCTTGTATAATGGTCCTGTGCAGTGTGGTATTCCTCACAAATATGGGGATGTGTATGGGCACCTAAAAAAAAAAGAACATCTTTCAGGCAATGTTCAACATAATAATACACACAGTGTAACAAAAATGAAACATGTACATACCAGAGTTTCTTCATGAACTGCGCTCAAAAGATATTGAAGGGAAACACGGCAATCCTCCTGCTCATTAAGGCGATATCCCTCCCAATTTTCCTTGAGAATAGCCTTGGATAGTAAGAAAAAGGCTAACATCATTAACTGATCTGATTAATTAAAATGGTATAGAATTTGTAAATCTCTTATAAACTAACCAGGAAAGAATCACAGGAGTAATGCGGATCCCTATAGCATACAACAATGCCAATAAAAAAGGATTCCAGGGCATTTAATATTGTTAAGTCGTGATCGGTGGACCAAATAGCTTGACATAGACTCTGTCTAAATGAAACAACTGAGATCAAATATTGTAACACTGCTGTTATGTAGCATATATTTCCTTCGTTTATGATCCCAGGTGGTTTGGATAGTTGACCTTTACCGACCTGAAAAATAAAAATACGACTTCATTAAGACTTTATCTACAAGGGCCTAAAACGCTGTCAATATTATCTAGTCAGTATAAATCCGTAAAGTAAAAGATCTCCATTTCTTCATAACACTCACACAACAACTGAAAACAGACAATAACTCTATCAGTAACCGATTATTTTACAGAAAACCACACTTTTCTTTGGCTGCTCACCTGAAAACCTTGTTACAAGTGATAAAATGAGTTAAATTGTAATCTTCAGTTGGTTAGAGGCCGACGCACCGGCTCTTGCGCGAATCTGAAGCATGCTAACACCGTCCGAACTGATATTTTCGTATATTAATCACTGAAATGTCTATCCTACAGCTCCGATAGTCCTTCAAACGTGTTCTCCTCGCTTCCCCGATTAAAATGATACCAAGCTCGACTCAAACTGACGCAGAATAACGTTGTTTAGGCTGATGTCCTCGGCTCGAGTTGCGCTCGCCCGGCCCTCCGAAGTACTACCATTAGCATTTATACCCAGACCAGACTTTAAGCTCCTCTCTGGCTACCATAAGAAAGCGGGGAAACCAGGTGTGACCTTAGGCTGGTCTCACTATACTGTAGAAATACTCATGAAAAAATAATACTTCGTTTTCCCAACACGCCTTTATGATGTTCAATTTTTCCAGAAATCAGACAGTTCAGCAAGAATATCTTTGAAAGCACTTACCTCCACCCATTTGTTTAGAAATTCCACATAAGGTAAATAAATGAGAGGTAGTTGTTTACTAGTACAAGTAAAGGGCCACTTTATTAGCAAAGCACTGCTGAAAACCATTGTACATAAAAGATTGCACCTTGTTGGCTAAAGGACAACACAGAACCGAGCATAATATACATTTGTACTGAGGGTTTGTTAATTGCAGAGAAGGCTAACATTGCACGCGACAAATTCATGAGCTCCCTCAAAATTAATACAACTATCAACTTTCTGTCAAAATACTCATGAATCAGAACATAAAGTCAATGATAACAATAACTTCCTGGCAAAACAATCCAGCACACTCCCAGAGACAGACACACAGTGGAGCTACTCACAAAAACGAACGGATCAAGAATCAGACTGTCAGAATTGACTGACATCCGTACATTTCTATTCTATTGTGCTACTTAGCTGCTACTATAAGCAGGTAACTGTTGCAGAAACAATATCCAATGACAGGACACTCAATATGACACCCTTAATATTATTTGTATAGACAAAATACTGTCTTCAAAATGCATGCTGAGTTTATAGAACAATTACAATAGGCAGGGATTACATTCAACAAATAACATTTCATGTCCATCACATTTTTCTTGACTATCTCCTTGAAACACCTGAATCCACCAACCCATCCTGTTGAATAAAAAATGAAAAATAAACAGGGACTAAGAAGATAACTACTAGGCCAGACACTACATCCATACAATAGATTAGAAATGACTTTTTTCTTAGTTGACATGAAGAGTCCACAATGGTCCCAGTAAAACCACACTTGGCTCTTAGGATACTTTGATTAGAGGTTTTAACTTCCCTTCCCTTAACACATAATCCAAAAACATTGAAATATATAACACAGAACTAAACAGTACAAGTAGTCATTACTGTTTTGATACACACACATTCTGATTTGATTCCAGTTAACAAAGTGTCGTTGAGCAAAACATCTTCCTGATAATTACTTGGGTTCCTCAGAAGATTGACATCTTGTACAGTCTGCACTCTTGACTGATCCCTGTGTTGCTTACAAATACGACAGTAATACCTTGCAGAAAAAGACTCCACAAAACCAGTCATACCATTCACACCCTTATTGTCACCAAGAATAAGACCAACTGCAAAAATTATCTGATGTGTTTCATTATCAACTTTGATTTCAATACCATCTCTCTCTGAATCTTTTAGAACATCTATGACAATTTGAAAAGTTTCCTGATTCCTGCACCTTTGACTATGAGTCAAGAAAACAGCAGCAACAAATAAATTTTCCAAACGAGACAACAAGTACTGTGGTATAGACAGGATAAAGTAGTACAATAGCCCAAGACTGTGCGTGCCTGAATGAGACCCTTTCTGATTGTTGGGTTCTGCATCATCAAAATAGAGAACAAGTGGCCGAACAAGACGGCCTTGGAAGTAAGTCTCTACAACATTTTTCCATAATTCACCCTGAATAAAATTAGAAAATGTATCAGACCTGTTCAGCTCATTAATATTGTCCAGTGTGGATTGAAACACTCCAGGGAGCTGTAGAAATTTTTTCAGTATTTTTTTCATGCAGTTATACTGACCAGTTAACTCCACAAGAACTCTTTGCTCAATGCCGTTAACTTTTTTCATTATCCAATCTCTTCCGATAAAGTATGATTGAAGAGTGAAGTAAGCATCATACTCTTTAAGTGCTGCAACTCTCTGACTTTCAGTTTCTAGTCCTTCTAGTGAGTTTCTTAAAGAATTAAACATTTCCCCCAGATCAAGTAAATCTTGTTGAGGACCATTGAAGTTTCTTAACATTCCAATGACTTTTGATTCAAGTAAGTCTAAAAAACCACTACCAGAAAAGTCAGAGCACATTTCTAAAATACTTTGAATTCTAAATCTGTTAAGAGATGGTACTGAATACAATTTTGCAGACAAGGAAAGACTGGATGTGTACAAAGCAAGCTTAAAATCAAGAACAGAAATTTCATCTTGAGCAAGTTCATTTAATTGTACATCTAAAATTTCATTGTTGTCATGATCAGTTTCAATCTCTATATCATAATTAATAACATTTATGTTTGCACCCTCTACACTATCAATAACTTCTCTTTCATTTGCAGAATGCTGCTTAACCAGATGCTTTCTTAAAAGGCTCACTGTCCCATACACCTTATTCGGGCAGAAACAGCATTTGTATGAAGACAAACAACCAAGAGGGTGAATCATTCTGATATGGCTACAAAGGCCCAAGATAGTTGGTGACTCAGTATTACAAATTGAACAAGTAAAAGCCATTATTAAATTATGGTGATTAACATTCAAAGCTAGTGAAAGTAATCAAAATTAATGTAAGCCTAGTAGACAAGTCTAAAAATTTCAAGCTAATAAAACTCACTACATTTCATCTAAGACTTGTAAACAAATCTCGGGTCAGTTCTAAATTAATTAGATTTTCAATTTAACCTAATTTTAAGAATTTAGATATAAAAAATGTAATTCTAACTCAAATGAATGAAGGGTTTCATAAACCTTAAAACTATCCCTTACAGTGCATCATGCTCTTCAAGGTGCTGATGACAGAAGTTACCCGTGGATGGTTCTCATCTTTGCGGATGCGTATCTTGAAGAAGCACTGCTGGATGAACAACCAGACTTCATATGATGCTGAGGGGTATCCGATATCCAATGCAAAGAACGCCTTCAGGCAAGTGTCCACTGCAGCCAAGCCTGTCTTAAAATAGTAACGGGTATCTTCTATCTGGACATACCATCCACTCATTTCCGATAATGATGGACCAACAGCAATAAGTATGGGTTGGAACTTCAAATTTTGTTGCTTCAAAGAGCAATAGTTTCGCACTTCCCGTGAAATGTCACCAGGCACCTACGAGAAAACAGGGAAAAAAGTTCGATTTTCATGCAACAAATAATACTAAAAATGTATATAAAATAATGTTCTAAGCATACCTTGACATGCAAAATAAAAGATTTCCGAACAAGTGGAATAGGCAGAATGTTCTTTTGAGAATTACCTCTTCCCATTTTGCCACAAAGATTGGGAAGTAAAGCTAGCACCAAGGCATCTTACGCATCTGTAAATAATAAACAATATGCCAATAAAGAAGAATTAAGAAAAAATATAATTAAATAAATACAAAAGTAAAACATACCTCCTTTAACCTTATTTACTGCACTTAGCAATTCAAGAGTGACAGAGTCATTTTTAGCAGTTTCCTCTTCAACCAAAGATATAATGGATGGGCAATAATTCTCCCATAATGCCAAGAGGCAGTTTTCCCTACCAGGGTAAAGTTCAGCAAAGACTTGGCAAAGCTGCAACAAGTTAAAATTTATAGGTTTTACCAACATGTAGAACATTTTGAAAGAATGGGAAGAACATTAAACTTACAAGCATGTATCCATTAGGTGCCTTTAAAATTGAGTATATCTCAAAATACTCTTCAACTTCAAGGTACCGAGGATCTGAGTCATTATCACCCTGTATTTCCTCAAAGAGTTGTTGGCGACGTAGGCGATGAGTTGCAGTCCAATGTTTGAGAATATCTGGCCAGGAGTCAGTGTTTAGATGTTTCAGAGCAAGGAGCGCTGTCAAAACATCTTCATCTTCCTTATCACAGGATCCTAAACAGATATAGTAAGACACTTGAGTGAGACATTGTTGCTGGAAACATGCCCTATACCTTCCAATAGAAGATTACAAACCTGCAAGCTTTGTGAGCTCATCCTTGTTCGAATGCGCACTGAAGTCAAATTTTACTGGAACACCGTCCATGCGTTTCTTTAGACTGTACCTGATGTTTTGTATCTTGATAGGAATCTTAGAGGTTGCATTCTTGCACGTTGAACTGGGTGCTACATAGTAGGAAGTCTATAAAGGAAAGCAAAAAAATTTAAATTTTATTTCCCCAAACTAAATTTACTATCAACAAACAACTTACGGTTTCCTCAAACTTAAAAACATGACAAATTTTTCCGGCTAGAAGTGCTTGTTCCTGATGGCTTGGTCTACAGACAGAAAAACAAAACCATTAGAGTAATAATCTTGAATTTAAAGACATTAGAGCAATAAAGGGAGCACACATACCTTGGATTCAATTGCAAAAGATACTGTACAGCTCTCTCCACTATGTGGCCCCGATCATACTCTGTCAATATACCAGTTGACTCGTACTTCGAAAGGATGTTCTCAGTTATAATATTTTCCTTGAATACATCACGCAAGTCCTATAACCAAAGCGAGGGTGAGACAGAAACCTCATGCAAATATGAATTAAAAAGGCTATCACAAACTTACTTGACTCTTCAAATTGAAGAGGGCTGTTGATCGAATAATATGCTTGATTGTAGGACTTTCATCATAACAATCCGTCTCTCACACGCTTTCTGCTAGGTGGTTGGTCAGGCGAAGTAATGGAAATATCCTTAGTTACAGAAGTAGTTTGTTTAGGCGATGTAATCAATGTATCCTGCAGAAGATTGCAGAAGAACTTTCCTGTTCCAGAATAATACATGAGAAGTATTTAACAAAACTAACACAAAAACAAAAGAATCAAAAGTACAATAGATGAGAATAATTTTGATTTACCTTCAAGGAAGATATGTTGCCATCATCGGAGGAAGTCTCCTCTGGCTGTGCACCAGGACTTCGGCTACCCAAGTCCACTTATTCAGACTGAAAAAAAATGCGAAACAAACTCCATTAGTGTAGTCTACTGCCAACATTATTTCTCTTGCTATACCAAACAGTAATCCCGTAATCCCAAAAAACAATCAATTGGTTAGTATACAAGACACAGCACAGCAGACTAGGGTTTAGAGAGAAGACGAGAAGGACTTGTGAGTGAACCTGAGCTCTAGCTCTAACCTGCTAAAGTTCGGATACGCATCTACTCAGACGGGCTCGAAGGCCAATCTGAGGGATCAACTCTTTCAAATGTTCCGGCCTAAGGGAAATGATTCTCAGGAACGTTGTCAACTTTTCACCTAAGAAAACGATTAGAATGTAAACTCTTTGAGAACACATGGTGCAAGAAATGAAGACGGACAGAGGCAACCTAAGACTCAAAACAAAAATATGACACATGAACTAAAACAGCAGGTCACACTTCAAAAGAATTATTTCCGGTTCTTGATGAAAATATGGACATTGAACTTGAAGAATTCAAAGAGCAGTTACATACTGCAATTGACCGGTTGCATGAGCTTGCAAAAGAAGACAGCATGGTTACTCACCACCGTTCACTGAACGTTTGTTGAAGCCATCCACTCCGGCTCAACCCACAGACACTTTTTAGCGACTGAAAGCAGCATCCATGTCCCGTGTACGTAGGAGGACCAATATTAAAGTTTGAGCAACTGCAATACAAAGAAGAAAAGCGGGTAAGACAAAAGGTGCTAAACAATTTTGAGCAGGAAGACCAAACAAGCATGAAAACAATGGAAAACCCAAACTCCCCAGAAAACGGGAAGAGAATATAATGCACCTGATCGTGATACCCATTCTGGCTTTAGGTGGTTTATGCAGAGAAGGTGAATGTTGATTCCATCTCTCTGCCTATTGCAAATATCTTGCGAAGTTGAAGTAAGTTTAATACTGTATCTAGATGAGAACTACTAGATGCCTGAAACAGAAGAAAATGGGTAAGGGAGAAAATATGAAACATGGAACAACGGCTTATAAGTTTGCATCATGGCAAAGAAGTGAATCCCAAGTTAGAATGTTTTGCTGCTAGAGTCCAAATGCTTTGCCACATAGTGTCACATATTCGGAGGAATAGGCTTAGTCAAAGACTCTTATTATATGACAAAGATTTTTAACTGTGTGGATGAATTATTTTCCATCAGTAAGGGCAAAAATAGCTGATCTATTTCATTGAAATCACAACACAGCTATGTCAACCCAATATGACTAGTATTCATGCCAGTTTCTAATGTTTAATCACACTATTTGAAGCACTCAGCCACTTAAGAGAAGTTGTTTTTTCTTTTATTACAAGATGTTTACATGTCGCCTTTTGGTACAGTACAAGAAGGCTACACCAATGTGGAATATTCTCCGAAATCCATACCTTTTCAACATGACGGTTCTCTTGTTTACAGAGTAAAGAAGAAGGGTAAACCAATTCTGACTAGCAGCAACCAAAACTGCGTTGAAGAGTTCTGGGCGAAAATTTGGTTGATAGAGAGAACTTAACCTGCACTTCGTGTATCGGTTATCGTCGACTTTAACACTGACAACATCTCACTCACTCACTGATTCATACAGATATTTATGCAGATATTAATTAAAGGAAATATGTACGTACCCCGAAGATGAATTATGTTTATATTTTGAAGCCAGGGTGACCAGGCAAGACTAATGCAATGCAGCGTTCGTTGATCGCAACGTCAACTCAACTGTCAACATGTATACTTTCGCGTTGAACAATCGGCAGGCCTCGCCAAGAGGCTACGACGAGCGCGTCGGAGACGGTATGAAAAATATCGAAGAGCAGAGACCCCGCACGTCCCAGAAAACGGAGAATGCACTGTTAATAATTATTTAAATACATTTATTGTGAACATGCCGCTGTGTTTCTTTGAA